CGGGACCGGCGGCCAGGCGGCCGGCGGCGGCCGACGCGCCCGCTGTATCCGTGCTGCTACTCTCCTCTCCGTCCGATGACTCATTTAACGGAATTTCTAAATCTGTACATAATAACAGACAACATGTGACACCATTCTCTACACAACTATGACGCCAGTGTTTTCTTTACATTTTATTGAACCACTTACCGACGGTTTGATTCAAATTGGTTCTTCCTGGGCGAGGATCGAAAGCCGGTATAAGCGCTGAAAACTGTCGCTTTAGCACAAAATCGTCATCCCAAGGTTTACGCTGGCGGCTACCCTGGCCGCTGTTGCCACGAACTGCTTCTAATGCCTCTTCCTCCATTAACGACAAAAGATTCCGTGATACCTAAAAACATGTGTTTGACATTTAACATGCACTTTGACCAAAATTGAACATTACAAAAGTGTCTATGTTGTTTAATTGAATATTTTTACTTTGCACTCCTATCGATATCGAGCAGTGTGATAATAGAAGATTGTTTTTCATCGATGTGCTGTATGAACTAAAAGTAAAATGACCATATCTACAGTGAGAAGTTGTACTTACTACCTCCTGATAAGTGGGTTCGTTCTCCTTATCACTGTCGAGTGCGTCATCTCCCTCGTCGTCATCTTCCAACTCGGTGAGAAGGGCGGGAGCTCGGCAAGACTCCAGGAAGTCCTCTAACGACACCTGCAGCCACTTTTAATATTTATACCCTAATTTAATATTTTTCTACTACTTCTACTACTACAGTAACCAAGAAGCAATAGCAAAGAATTTTATTGTTCACACAAAATAGATACTTTGTATTTAAGAATGGAAGCGACACACACAAACATTTAAAACATGCATTTGAGTGAATGAGAAATGTTTACCTGTTCACTTTCACTTGATGTAGAAGTCAGAGACAGTGTGAGCGCATTTTGAGCATTTGGTACTAGCGACGGATAGCTCTGGGCAGCTGATAGCAGACCTCCTGGGAAGTTGCTCGATAGAGCTAAACGCACCAAACTGGAATTTCATAAAAAACATATTTTATCTTTTAGCAATCACCATTTTTGTTATAAAAAATAATGATATTTAAGTAGAATGAAAGCTTACCTAGGGAAAAGACTAGTTGAGTGGTTAGTTCTCGTTGCGCGCTGCGGGTTGTTGCCGCGCCCTGCGCCAGAACCACGACCAACTCCAAGAGATTCCAGTAATCTTGCGGCACCCTGCGAAGTTTTGTTGAGTCATATCTTAATAATTTTCTTCAAGTTCATTATTATTAATGTTTCATTATTAATTTGAGCACTATCGGACTCTATAATATCTTTTCTCTAATACCTTATATGTTGAAGATAGTAATTTATTTATGTTAACGACGTTTATAATAAAAGATACACAAATCTAACCCAACACTGACGATGTAAGCCTAATTCATGCCTTTAATTAATTCGATGTTATATAAAATGAGTGGTCTGCGTATAATATCTACCTGTTGCGTTAGATCTGGTTCACTAGCGCTCATGGCCCCCGAGCCGCCGGACTGAGTGTCCTTCTTGTGGTCGCCGTACTGACCGTCGGCACCTTCGTTGTCTTCACACTGCAAACAACTCGTAAGTCAATCACAAGTTCCTCCGTGAAATGATTTCAACACATAGATTACTTTGTGTAACTAAACAAATTAAAACTAAACACTACCATAATTTAATTTAATCTGGATTTTTATAGTAAAATGCATAACATAACATAACGCCTTTTATCTCCGAAGGAGTGGCAGAGGTGCACATTACGGCACTTAATGCTTAAACTTTTACAAATCCCGTAATACCTTGCCCGACCCGGGAATCGAACCCGGCCAATAAGCCAGTCAAAAGTATAGTAATGGTAAAATGCATCTATCTGAAAATGTATACTGTATAGTTTATGCTTACTTTATGGATAAAGGTACACATTTCTGAATAAGCTGAGATAAGGGTAACTTTATTTAAAAATTCGTGTGGGTTAATACATATGTATACATTTAAAACCACGACATACCTCTTGACTAGTTGTTTCTGGTACTGGTTCTTTGGCTGGATATGGTTTAGTAATGTCGGTGATACTTGTGGGTCCCATTTCCATATTTGTAAATGACGTGTTGGCCAAATCAATGCAGTTATTGCTCTCAGCTCCCAAGGTTAGAGATTCTACTATTGTTGCTAGATCTAAAACAAAGTTAATGAATTATATTACATTCTATTGGGATAGAAAGTATTCTACTCTTTTTTTCCATGTCGTAACCGAGACATTTATTATACAGGCTTACAGATACATTTTAACTGAGGAATAACTTTTGGCAAGGGCACGCGCTATTAAATGTTATTTATTTATATTTTGTTTTATTAATTTTTAATTACTTTGTTATTATTGTATTGTCACGGTTTTGTTATACTCTGTCGTTTCTTTGTTTCGTTGCCCCACACTAGCATTTTCTCCTGTGTCGTGGGTGCGTTTACAAACATACAAGTTCACATGTCATACACATGACTCCCAGACCCGAAACAACAATTCGTGGATCACACAAAGCGTTGTTCCGTGCGGAAATCGAACCCGCGACACCACCAACCGTGCAGTCATATTTCAGTCAGTTTTCTATATTATCAATTTAAGTATCTGTATTTATTTCGTCTTTTCTTTTTTAATTTTTTATTATTTTTGTATCTGTGTCTGAGTGCCAACTGTCGAATAAATGCTTTTTCTTTCTTTCTTTCAATATTTGACAATTCTTCCATACTAAAAGCTGTCAACTGTCAATTTTATTCTATAGTTAAGGATTAACTCATGATTGAAAAATCGGCCCTTAAATTCATATTTTGACGGATCGTGTAGGACAATTGCCTTACCTGTGTTGATATGGTGTGTAGAGTTATTGATGGCGGAGAGGTCGGTGGCGTGCGTGCGTGGCCGCGACATGTTGCTGGCCATCTCTTCGCTCGAGATGTTGTCCGCAGACGACGCCTGCTCCGTCGATGCTACCGATACCTGGCAACATTCATGTTCACTGAGAAATACTGACTAAAATAACTTAAACAAATAAAACGAATTTCTAGTACTAATATAATCATAATTGAAGAGCAAAGAAAATGAAAAATAAAGAGAGAGATAGAGAGTACCTGATGATCTACAGCCGTAGCGTCGGGCAGACTAGGAGTGGAGTGGCTCTTGCGACCTTGTTTGGCCTCACCACCAGTGGCGCCACCGCTCACCACTTTGAGATCAAATTTACCTTCCGCGCCCATACGGTAAGAGTTACGTCCGCCATGGTCCCACCTTTTGAAAAATGTAGAATTAAAGTCAAAATCCATTACAAATTCTTGCCAAACACTTGCATGTACACTTTTATCAGCAGAAATTACATTTACTCAAAACTTAAAAGAGATTTAAAGGTTTTATAAAGTAAACAATAAGAGTATATGAGAGAATGATTGCAGAACTATGTTCGTCAGTGGGTACAGTATGTGCGAGCGGACCTGACGTCGACCCATCCGTTGTGGAGGTCGGAGGTGACGGTGCCGAGCGCGGGGTGCGGGCCGTCCTGGTCGCGCCACTTCCAGTCGGGGCCGCGCAGCACGCGCGCGCCCGCGCACACGCCGCGCGCGCCGCGCGACCAGCGCCGCGCGCGCGCCCCGCCCACCGCCGCGCCCACCGCCGAGCTAGCGCCGCCCATCTGACGCGGACCCACCTCGTTCACGCTCAATACCTGTCGATATCGATGAGTACGTCAATTAATGTTTATACTATTTTTTTATTTCGAATTTCTGATAAGTGTAAGTTACCTTGCCATATATCTCAAGTCCGGACAGTGACAAGTAATGGCTTTGTCCACTGGCATTCTTCCCATTTTGTTGTATTCTTAAGAAGCGATATGGCGCGTCGGATCGTATGCGCCAGGTAGCCGTGCTACCTGGTTCTTGTAATGTTTGCTCATCGTTGTGAGCCAACAGAGTAGTCCATGTCACACCATCAGCCGACATCTGTGAAACGTTTACAAATATTTATGACAAATCCATTTTAAAAGAGATTTTAGATTTACGAAATTGATTTAGCTCAAATATTCTTACTTGGAAAAGCCAATTCCTCAGAGCCGAACGCCCGTATCCACGAGCATGACGCATCGTGTACGCAGTAGGGATAACTTGTAAACCTAAGTCTACAGCTATAAAAGCTCGTCTGTCATCATTGGTATGAACGTTCAAAGGTTCAGGCGACCTCGACAACACATCTTCAGCCCGACCATAAGGTAACTGCCTTCCATCAGATGACCAAACACTGACTAAGCCATGTGCACCAGGGTTAACCCATTCGCAAGTGCCTGCATTGCTGCCGATGAAGTAAATAATCCCATTTTCGTCAAAATCGTGCTAAAAATAACAAATAAAAATCAGTCATTTGTTACATTTATAAAAAAAATATCAAACAAGAAAAATGTGAAATGTCTTCAAGGTACTTACATCATAAGTAAATGTGATAGGTGCTTCTGCTTTTATTTTCTGCACGAAATTGAAAGTGGCTCTGTCCATATCGTACCACTGGCGGGCGACAGATTTAGCGAGGAATCTCTCGAGCTGTCGTACTGTTGTAAGTGCTTCTACTTTCAAGTTACGGCCGGCGTTGTTGCCGTTATTTGACATTGTATCTTCGGTAGCTTCATCATTAGCACGTTCGACACGCAAACTGAAAATTAAAATATGTTAAATATATTGTAATGGTGGAAGTTACAGGAGCGAAGTGCTATTAAGAGGTTGTATGTCCAACACTGGGCAGATATCTATTGAATCTCAAGATTGAACCTGAAGATCAAGATTCAAGTTAAGCAACTGTACATTTGCAGTTAGAAAATTAGAAATTTCGCGGGAAATAACGGATTAAGTTCTGAAGTGGTACAATAGCAGAGTTTGCCTAAAGAGGCCTACTCATTTGATGATATCGAGTGTACGGGGAGTAGGCGTGTACCGTATGCGCTTGGTGAGCGTGTGCAGCGAGCCGCTGGCCGGCGGCGGCGCGTCGGGCGGCGCCAGCACGGGCAGGCGCTCCACCGACTCCAGCACGGCCACCAGCCGTGCCAGCACGCCGCCCGCCGCGCCGCCGCGCCGCGCCACCCACGACCGCACCAGCCGCGCGCGCGCCGCCGCCTGCCCCGCCGCATCTGCAAACACTCCACTTTGTAAATCGTGACATTCTCTAGGAGGTAACTCGGCTATCGACTCTGAGTTCAAACTAATAAAAAAATTGTAAGTACATATTTTTTTTTTTTTTGTAATTACGCCGGATTACACATCACCGTCTTGTAACTAGCTTTATAACGCGGCTCAACACACACAAACTCAAACACGTAACGTTCGATCGAACGATCCGCCGGCTCCGCCCCTACACTCTCACCCCTTTTTTTTAAGGGGGGAAAAATCATCGAATGACTGCTCCCGCTTGGGTGAGGCGGAAGGGAGTGTCAAACTCTAACTGATCGAAAACCACCGCTTCGAGCCGGAGCCCCGGTAACCCGTTAGGTTCTCTACGACTCTGTATCGGCATCAGCCCTATTGGACCCCATCCGTGGTGGTTTGATGGCTCTTTGAAGCGTGCACGGAACGTGAATAATAAGTAAAGCGTTAACACTTAAAAAAAAACACAGTGTTTCGCATCAGCTGATGACTAACGTTGATACTTTAAATGATTGTTTCTGAATTAAAGGTTTATTAAAAATGTTATAATCAATTAAAAATCACGAATGTTTGTACAAGATAATTGTATTTCGCTTTCTTATGTACTTGTGCGATGTATCGCGTGGCCCTACCTACTGACCTTCACGCTGTCTTGACCATTGTTTTGCTACGTACGTACATTGACGTATTGGGTGATGTTGTTATAGATGTTGGGCGATTCTATTTATTTAAATTGCTATCACTTACTCTGAAATACTGTTAAACATAAACAATGTATTATAGCCGCATTTTTAATTATTGGCCAGAAACCTTTTCTTAAATTGAACATTTATGACTTCTGTGACATGCCCCCTAGAAATGTTACGATTTAAAAACTACACCTTGTATAACAATCTCAAAGATTGCATTGTTAGTCAGCACCACGAGTCCTAACCAAATTATTTTACTAAGTCGAAACAAGGCGATAAGTAGACAAGAATTTATACTTCTTAAAGCTCGTGATGAAGTTCAACTTCCACATGAAAAACCTACAGAGGTTTTATATCATTGTCATACTAAATTTGCACTTACCATTAGCTTGTGGTGAAAGTACTTGCAGCAAGGAAGGTGCAAGTCCAGACGACTGCAATTCGTAGGCAGAGAGTAATTCATCACCGCACAATAACTCGGTTAACTGATCCAGAGACTCGTTTAACTCGTTTTGCCAATCATCTGTATACAATAGATACATCACAGTTAATATGGGTGTATTATCAATAAATATAATGGAATTAAGCTATTTATATAGGGAGGCCCTTGAAATATGAATCCTTTGGATCTTCCTTTCAGGGTCATCCTATAATTATGCTCAAATGTGAACAACATGTTCGACTGTAGGTATAATAGTGTATAGCATGTATAGTAGTGACCCGTGGGCTGCGTGGCGAGGCGCTGCATGCGCGCCAGCAGGGCCCGCAGGCGCGCCACGGGCGGCCGCGGCTGGCGCGTCGCCGCGTTGGCCAGGTGGCGCGAGTACAGTGCGCGGGCTCGCTCGCAGACCTACGATAAACATAATTATTATTTACTAGTGACTAACGGACAATTCAAAACCAAAATAATTACCAGTATTTCCGGAGATTAGCGCCTTCAAAAAAACGGAACTCCTTGGCTTTATATGATACTTTGAGATAAGATTTACCACTATTATATTTCAAAATCACATTGTATTAGCAACCAATGTAAAAGTATGATTTTGAAATTTAGTATAATCAAACCTGTGCTTTCAATGCCTCTGCTTTAGCTGCTAATCGGGAACGGCTTGCATTCACCGCGTTATGAGGAGTCACATTCCTGCGGTCAGTCCAGCCGCTTGCTAACTCAGGTCCTAGTAAAAATAATATACAAATGAATGAACAAATATTTAAAATCAAAATTGCCTATTGATATTTTACATCAACAGCAATAGATAGACACTTAAGTTCTTACCCAAAAATGTTTCAGCAGTGAATGAGTGTTTAGTGCCCCTATTGGATTCGAAAATGAAGCCAGGCAAGTCTTCTCTGAGTATGGTAGTTTGCTGCTGACCATCTGTATTGTGGATTTGAAGTTCTTTTTCCCTAAAAAAACAGTATTATTTAAAGATTACGATCATAATGATTTTTTTATGGGATATTCAGGCTATAGGATCACCTGATGGCAAGCAATTGGCGCCGCCCATGGACACATGAAACACCAGAGGCGTTACAAGTGTGATACCGGCCTTTTGGCCGGGACTAGGAATTTGAGGAGTGTTGGGGATTCGGGGATTGGGGAGATAGAGGAGGGGGTAATTGTGTAACCTCACTCACACGACGAAACACAACACAAACATTGTTTCACGTCGGGTTTCTGTGAGGCCGTGGTATCGCTCCGGGCGAGCCGGCCCTTTCGTGACGAAGCATGGCTCTCCCACATATAATGCAATGTATGTATGTTCAACTTACTTTTTACATGAGAGAGACCAGTTGCCTATAATTAGTTTAGATGGTCCAGGTTTCGAGAGGATCGGTTGAGGAACTGTATTCTTCACAGAGGCTCGCGCTCTTTGCAGTTTGTCTATGAACTCTCCACGATTTTCTGTAATCAATGCAGGCATAGATATGAAAATCAAGAAAAAGAAAAGAGGCAGTACATCAGGTAATTTATTAGGGACAACAAATAATAAACGTTGAAAAAAGACGTGGGGAAAACATACCGGTGTTGTCAGTCTGATGCTCGGGGCTGCCACTGGAGTACATGGTGGCCAGCTTGCCGTCCAGCAGGAAGCGGAACCAGCCGTTGCTGCCCGTGCTGAGCTCCAGCGCGGCCGCGTCGCTCCAGACGTAGAGCGCGTCGCGGCCGCGGCACAGCGCCCACTCCGCCCACGAGTAGCCCACGCCGCTCGCCAGGCACGACGCGTCCTCGCTGCTCCCTGCGACACCTCGCGTTAGCACTGCTTCTCTGCTTACACCGTGTACTTCTTACCCTTGCGAGTACCCCACTTACCAGGATTATTGGAACTTTCGCTATCCGACGACAAGAAAGCGGCCGGAGCGGCAGCGAGACTCTCCACTTTACTAAAGACGCCGAGGCGCGCGAACTGTTCTAAATATATGTCCGAAGCCTTCACCATCAACTCCTCGGCTATACCGAGAACTATGAGATGGCCGTCGTCGTCGTCCTAAATATAATCATTTTTACATTATTCTCAATTCAAAAACTAAGTTTCCAATGATTTATGAAATGTATCACTGCTTTTATGATATTAATACACCAAATATACCACAATAATTAATTCAACACAAAATACAACAATAAAAAATACATTTCTCATTTTTAATAATAAATTCGTTATCGCAATTGAAGTAATTTGATTGTAATGAAAGATTCATGCATCACAGACTAATGGAATGCGCAACACCCGACGGTTATTTACGGATTTAATGTATTAAATAGGATTCGATTTAGATAGTTATAGTTTTTGTCATGAGATTGTATTATTATTAAACACAAACATAATAAACACAAAAGAAAGACTGTTGATGCAGGTAAGTTTCGATGGTGTGATGACTTTACAAAAATGTAAATGCTTCAAGAATAAATGATTGTGAAAAAAAACAAGAAACCAGTATCGTACAAAATCAGCATACAACAAATAAAAATAAAAATTAGTAGTATAAGTCTTATGGTTATGGCCATTGACACAAATTATGTACCAGCTTTCATTCTAGGATCTAAGCTGAGCGCAATTAATGGTATTGTTGGTATTGTTGGACGGATACAAGCCAAAACATTATGTCAATTTGAAAACGATAAACATAAAGAATCCGTGCAACAGTGTCTCAAGCAATATGAGGTTACGGCTCTAAAATAATTAAGTTTATTTTTTCTTGTTTGTTTTTTCATTGCATTTTCATAATTATTTACTATATGCAAACTTTACAGGTTATAAATAACAATATTCCATAAATAATTTAGAAACATTAAAGTTATAACTGATTTATGTTATACAGCTAAGAGTCTAATCAACATTATAGTAGGGGAGCCCACGATGCTAAATTTGGATTTACTCGAGCGTCGTTGGAACTTACTGGATTTTAAAAATATGGTGATAAAAAGAAAAAATGGTTTAGTGACAATTTCTTACACCGGTGGGGGAAGGGGGAATCCATAGATCTTTGAATCTGTTACGCGTAACTTTTGTTCTAGTGGTCGAGCGTGTCAGATATTGATAATGTACATGCTTTATGTGTCTTTGATAATAAAAAACTCTTAATCTGCCAGTTTGCATGGTGGAGTTGAATGATCTGGAGAGTACCAACGAGAACCTTTCAAAATCCCCCCACTCTTGCAAATCAAGTTGGAATGGGCACATTTTTTAAATACACTTCCTTTAGCATGGTATTGACCTACCTTCCCTTAATCTGACGAAACTAACTTTATTTAGTCGGACTTTTTTTTTAATTTTTAGTCCCCCCTTTCTAATCAGATCGGATATATGGTGGGTATATTCAACAGGACACTAGTTTTTCCCCATATGTTAATCTGACGCGCTCGAGTAACTACCGAAATCCCTTCATGGGCTCCCCTACTAT